ATTCAGGCTGATGCTGAGATCAAAAGTCTTCAAGTTTTTATAAAAGTTCACGTTTTTATAAAAGCATGAAACTTGGTACTCTTGTACAGTTTGGGAACATTTTCAGAAACGGAATTCTGCAGGTTGCACCATATCTCCTGAACCAAACATGGTAACACAGAAGAGGTGACGTCTGCCCATGTTTTACTAAGGAGGACACTGTTGGGTGATCAGCACTTGAGGTGTCATCAAATACGCCATCTCCAGCAGGAAGGCGTTGGATAAACCCAAGTGTTTCAAGGCGATAGTGGTCAACTGTTTCCCAGTGCAGGCTTGAAGTCTCAAGTTATGACTGCATGAAAGGCTGCCGCGGGTATTGGGAATGCAAAATCAGCCGCCTTCAAGTGCACAACTGAGTGTCAGAATGAAGGAAACTGAAGAATAGGTTCAACAATGACAACACAATCAGTTTTTTGAAGTAAATATTTGTGTGTTTGATTTTTAGGATAGAATGGTCATAGTCATTCAATAGACATGATATGATGACATCTAGCCAAGAATCTCAGATACTGTAAATTCTTTGTGATAATTTCTCTGAATTCACCATCATCTGTTCACCTGAGCTGTTTATGATGTTGTACAAAGTGTCACCATGAACATGTGTGAGCAGACGTCACCTCTTCAGTGTTGCTGTATTTGGTTCAGGTGCAAAACACAACATTTAGTAAGTAAGTAAAATGGCCACCACACGGTATTGTTGTGATTGTTCCATTCCTAAAAATGTTTCAGACTATGTAGGTGCACTGGAGTCTGTGCCATCATATAAAAGTAAATATATCACCTAAAATTTGGCACAGATCCCCTGGATTAATAGATCTTTATGACTTTAACATTTGGAACAAAGCAGATACCTCCCTAATCAAACTATGCTTACAATTATGTATACAATTGTGTGCATAACAGTACATGATTACTCTACTCAAAAGGTTCTAGTTGCTTAGTTTGGCTCCTTACCACCCTGTTTCTCATCACCAGCAGCTAACTACATTGTATTTATGAGGCTGATTTCTTCTAATTACCGTTGCACCTCTGGCCACACCATGACCGCACAAATAAAATGTCATGTGAATGCTGGTATTTGACGCAACCACTCTGGTGCTGTTTCTGCTTCAGCCAGTGGCTTCTTTTGCTCTTAAGCTGTGACTTTCCCAAAGGCAACAGTCTGTGATTTATAAATATTTGCGTTTCCTTTTTTTATTTTTTTTATTTTCACAGCTCAGGCCCAGAATACTGCATGAATCAAAGCGTGCATTATGCAAAGCGTATATTAACAGAGAAGCTGTCACCAGCGTGAACCACGAGAACCTTTCATGCATTTTTAATAGCCGCTGCGATGCATGTTTTAAAGGCAGAATGCTTATTCTCAATTATTAGATAATCATTTGCTTCATTTAGCAACTGGTGTCAAATATGGTTAATTGCGGGAAATCTTCTCTGCATACAGGAAGTGGTAAATTGAAATCGGAGAGCAGGATTAACAGATGAGAATGTAAAGATCCTGAAAAGTTGTGATGCTTTCGTCCAATGATTTCAGTTTATTTTGTCATGTTGGGTAGCCTGTCTGTGCTGTTATGGTGCAGAGTATTTCCAATTTGTTACCATCTCCTGGGTCATAGCATTGAGCTCAGGTGTCTTTTACTCAAACCCTTTGGTAAACCAAACATTTCTGGAGGAGAAAATGAAGGCAAACAGTCAAATTATTACTCAAAGTGTAAACATCCGTCTTGAACCTAACGTATTTACTGTACTTGTACACACACACACACACACACACACACGCACTCACACACACACACACACACACTCACGTACACCGTTTACCTATAGGAGGATTTATTACTGATGTAAAAAGTTTGTGGCGGTTTAACAAAATTGCCATGAAGATAATAGTCAAACCTCACAAAGAATTAATGTTTACACGCAAACTGCTGATAACTGTGAACCCAACACAATGTAATAACTGATGACAAGTCAAATAAATAAATCAAGGATGATAGAACAACCACACTTTTCCAATGGCATTAAAAAATAGGAAACAAAAGTTGTTCAAAAGTCACTCCCGTCCCTCTTTCTGAAGTGTTTTGGAGAATCTGGCCAAAGTATTGGTTTGGTTACAAAATGTGGGCCAAGTTGTTGTGTGAAAAGGATGACATATCAATTCCAAACCCACAAAAAATATACATCATCCAACTCCTATCCATAAGCCTTGCAGTGTTAGTGACCTTAACCTCATGGTTTTGGTTTCATAACTTGATGTGTAAAAGGAAAAGACTGCTACTTTATGAGGACGTTGAAAGGGCAGAAAAAAATTCTCTTGTTGTCCTCCCCGAGTTCAACAAATCAATATTTGTCTTCTCCAAGTTTAATAAATCAGCGTCAAGACCCATATATTAGTTTATAGAGGCTGTTTAGAGGTACTTTACCTGTACTAGGGGCTTTTTCCTCTCCTGAAAATGGCCCAAAAAAAGAGGTTTTGCAAGAACTACGGTCCCGCCAGAGGTGGTCCATTTAGCTTCTGAAAAATCAGGAGTCCATGTTTGCTGGATTAGTAAAAGGCTTTTTTTCTTTTTTTTTTGGATACATTTTTGCCATATAATTTTTTTAAGGCCATAAAATATCAAACACTTGGGATTTTAAACAGTTTTTCCCATAAGTGTCAAAAAGAAGACGCTAATTAATGCAGCTTTAAGTGACTGTATTCAATAAAATAATTACTTCTGGCTGCCTAAGGCAACCTGCTAATGTACAAGGTTGCCGAGCACGTTTATGAATTATGAGTCTGGAGTCAAAATCATCATGAATATGGATTTCTACAGGACTAAAAAGAAAAAAAAAAAAAAGATATTTTCTCATCAGCTTTGGTCCCGAGACACCTGAACGACTTAAGTTACTGATTTATTGAAGCCATTCTGTTGTGGAACCTTGTTGTGATCGGAACTGGCATTGAGACAAGGCATGATGGAGTGGACAAAATGAGCAAGTTCAACCAAGAGTCACACATAAAACAAATGAGGACATCAGCTCTCAGACCGAATATGAGTCACTTTGCAGCAGAATCAGCATAATGAAAAACGACGTGCTTAACGTGACACTTTGTCCCCTCGATAGGCGGCACATTCCTGCATAATTGTTAGTATGTATTGATTTGCCCTCGATGATCTGCCAGAAGGTATTGCAGGTATTTCAATCTGCCATTTCATTTATTTATCTTTGATCTATTCTTCCAGCCTCCTTCCTTCTTGGCTTCATGCGCCTTTGACTCCCTCAGCTTTGTCTGTTACTGTATTCATTATGGTTTGTCATTCTAAAGCGATTCGTATAAAAGCTTGCACAGCGTACAGCCGGTTTTTCTGCATCTGATTAATTCATTCAGTTCCGCTTTGCTTTGTCCTTTAATCCTGTCCAGCTGTTGCTTCATATGGTACACCTGCACATGTTTCACAATAAGACCTTTGAAAAACCTTTGAGTTAGGAAAGTTTCTGTCCAATGAAACGCTAGAAAGCCAGTGGGAGTGGATCAAAACTAGATTTCTCAATAAAATACGATGAATTGCACTCCTCAAACAAGAAGGAATAAGAAGTAAGGCCTTTGTAGCCGAGGTAAAGAAAGGCCCTGGTCACTATTTTAGCACAAATAGAAATACAGTAAATGTCAATTGCTACGGAGCTTGGTGGGTGTGATAGAATCGCACCCCTTCCAAGCTGTTTGCATCTTAGTTCTTCCGCCTTCTCTTCAAACTGTCAATGAAAAGTACACCCAACGCCGTCATGGCACATCTCCGAGTCTCTCCAGCAAGGCCACAGCAGCCTTCCTTACGCACAACCATTAAGCACGACTGTGGCTATTTATAGGATCTCCAGTGTCAATTATTCATCACATGCAACCGCAAACCCTCTGGCCATGATATCTTAATCATCATCATCAAACTTCAGAGAGGTAATTAGTGATTCAGTTGCAGTGTTCACAGCGCGCCCCATTGAAAAATGTTTCGTACTGAAGGCAAGTATGAAAACATGATCACATGAATGTACACGTATGAGTCAATATAATATGAAGAGATGTTTGCTTGGTGCCATTGAGTGGCTTACTATAGATTACTGTTTAGACTTTAAAACCTCATGACTGACGCTCACACAGTCATCATCATCATCAACAGGCCGCGCAGGTGGCAGATGACCAGAACAAATAATTTATTCATTCAGGTGTTTGGGGACTAATTTAGATTTTATCTCTCAACCTGTTTTTAAAGTGTGCCTGTGGTGCACACTTCCTCACTCAATCAAATGATATATCTCTATTTTGTGTCCCTCTGGCTTGATGTTGCAACCGACAGAAGTAATCATCACGTCATAAGAAACGGATTTGCTTTAAAGTGGTCGTGGAACCATTCATAAACTACGTACACTGTTCAGCCACAACATTAAAACCATCGTTATAATATTGTGTTGGTCCCCCTCGTGCTTCCAAAATAGCTCTAACTCACTGGGCCATGGACTGGACACAGAGCTCTGGGGATGACCTGTGGTGTCTGGCACTGGGATGTGAGTTGTGGGGTAGGACCTCCATGGATCGGATGTGTTCTGGATCAGACTGGGATGTGAGTTGTGGGGTAGGGCCTCCATGGATCGGATGTGTTCTGGATCAGACTGGGATGTGGAGAATTTAGAGGCTGGGCTATTTCTCATGTTCCTTACGCTGCTTCCGAACACTTTTTATGCTTTGGCAGGACACGTTGTTCTGCATTTGTCTGCATACGTTCTTAACTTTTAACATGTCTTTCCTCCACCTCAACTTCCTCCCACCATATCCTTCCTGTTTACTTTCTTGTTTTCTTCAATATCTCCTTTCTCCCCATATTACTTCCTGTTGAACTCCTCCCTTCCCACCGCTATGTTGGACAACTGAGAGCACTCGTATCTCTAAACAGGAGCCCTTCTTTCATTTTCTCTGTTAACACCAGGCAGAAGAACTTTGCCCGAGGCATCGAACAGCAGCTCCCAGATGGCATGGTGGTGGCGTCGGTGCCAACGGAGGTTCAGTGCCATGAGGAGCTGTCAGACCCTGTGCCCGACCCAGAATACCTCACAGGTATGAAGTCATATTTCATAGTTCAGTCTGCTAGCTCACAGCTGTGCGCGAGTACTTCATTACTGGCTTGTCAGAAATCCTCATTACTAGAAAAAAATCGTCTTCTCGGGGCTTGATAATCAATGTGGGATGCTGTTTGAGATGCATACGATGCTGGCATATGCATCCTGACATATCCATTGTCATTTATAATACAATGTTTGGGCACTCTGCTGCATGGTAAGCAGTAAAAGTAAGAAGATACCCACTGCCAGTAATGTATAGGCCCCTGTGCAGTCCTCATGAGTCCCCTCAATCTGTCAGACAAGGTTGTAGATACTGCCTCAGTAAACCTACTTTTTTTTTTCTTAAATTAGAAAATTGTATGCAAACATTACAGCCTCTTGCAATGTTAAGGTTTAATATGTAGGGTTAGATCTCGTGAGCCCGTCTCCCCTCTACATGCCCGGATAGGAAACACCATTCATCCACTGGCACTGAGAGTCGGCCTTTGGTGTCAGTTGTGTGGTGCAGATTCCTCCAGTGACTAATTCCTACGGGACACCTGACTGAAATATATGCAGGATAAAAAGCCTCTGTGTGGAGTTCTGTCGCTGTAGGTCTGGCAGCTGTGTGTTAAAGTGTCCAATACCCAAGTGGATCCCAACTGACTCAAGAGAAGCTGTGATCATGTGGCGTTACACTGATCGCAACAGAAACCAGAGGCGAGGGTCCTTGTTTAGTTCCAGCTCCCTTTGGATTGGTTCCCTTTTTTTAAAAAATATAATTGTAAGTCATATGTTCCACTGATCTAATCCCCCAGTGAAAACCTTTCTTGATGGATTACATTTTTCACATATTTTTTTTAAGATTAGATTTGATTCAACTTCATTGTTATTGTACAGCCAGAGAAATGCAATTATATAAACAGCATTGCAAAGAATAGTATCATTTACAGATACATGCAGGTAAAAGTAAACTCGACTGCATGACTGTTTTACAGAGAGGTTAAGTTAGAAATAGAAAAGTGTGCACATATGAGGGCTCTTCAGTATAAAAAACTATGTACAGGCGGTGTTGGGGATATAATATAAATAATGCAATAGTAATCTAAACAACAATGGAGGTTCAGCCTGTGCAACAATGAGCACAGGCTCATAAAAGTCTTGAGACAGGGCGGTAATGAGTGCAATAATGCTTAGCGCTGTGGTGTAAAGTTCAGCAGGGTCACAGCCTCAGGGAGGAAGGGCTTCCTGATCCGGCAGCAGTGGAAGGTCCTGTTATGTAAAAAAAAATAAAAATAAAATATTCAAGGTTAGGGTGATAAATGATTTCATAGAAAGGTCAGTTTGTACAGTCAGGTTAAGTTGGGATACTCCAGTGCTGAGCAGCATTTTGATAAAATTAGGCTTCCTAAAATGCACAGTTTGACTTCTTTTTTTTTCCTCTTTCTGGCCTCTAAGTATTGGTTGTTTGCCATATTGTCTTGTCAGCCTTATCTGAGGCCAATAATAATACAACTGAAGGAAGCTGAGTAAAATTCATTTCTGTGATTTGGACTGAGTTCAGATATTTAACATGCAGAGTTGCACTATTGACCCACATTGGCGGTTTGTTGATGCATAACGTAGTCTGTGCTGTGTTGCACTTTGGCATCCTCTAACGAAGCATCACTTATCAAGAAATATATCGTCAGAGAAGTCAAGAAAACTCATTGTCCTTTAAGCGTCTAAATGAATTACGTTTATCATACATATCTCCTCTTATAGACTACGAATATTTGTTTCTCTCATGTCGAATACAGTAAAAAAAAAAGCCTCACAGTAACGTCGTCCATGTGCAAAATCTTTTTCTGGCTGCTTCTGTTTTGCGCTCGGAATCAGTCAGTAATAAAGCCGAGGGGAAAATAGGTAGAGCATTAGCAAAATAATTTTTCATCTGGCAAGTGTGTGTGTGTGTGCGGGGGGAGGAGGTGGTGGTGGTGGTGGGTGGGTTGCGCCACCGCTGTCGGGATTCATTAGTCAGCGGTATCAGAAGCCATCTTGCTGTTCTCTTCATTACCAGCTCAACACATGGCAGTGATGTTTGAGCAGTCGTCCAACGTGAAGCTGCTCCTGCTAACACAGAGAGAAAAAAAAGGAAGAAATAAAAAAAAAAAAAAAAAAACAACCCTCAGCTTGCTGTATATCAAGCAACTCCAGAAGGCCAGAAATGTGTGTCATCCATCTGGACGCCTCATTAGCTCCAACGTTTGACCTCACTGTTATTTATTTCTTGCTTAGTTTTACAGTTTTCTGCTCTGAATGTTTGAAATCATGCAGAGCAGTCATACACAGGAGTGTTAGACTGGATCACTGAGAGGAAAAAAAAAAGCATTAGTTTGACAGACAAGTTGTCTGAAAACACAAGATACTCTGTTTTACCAGACGCTGAGAGGAATGCTTTTTCTCATTATTATTTCTCAGTGCTGGCATTTAAGTTGCAGAGCACACAGGCATTTTACAAGAAAAGCAGACATCTGTAATGGAGGGGATATCCCCCCCTCTCCCCCCTGCGCTGCTTGCATAACTAATAATTTCTTTTTTCATGTTTTACTACAATAGCGAGCGTAAAATTAATAATTATATTCCAGCATATTTCCTGTGAATGCTTCATTCAGGCAGCCTGCTGGCTAAGCTTATTCCGGGCACCTGTGTAACTGCCTCTAAATTGCCTCGCAGTGTAGAAAGCAGCAGATTGCAGGATGGGTTTATCGTTTGTTGTTGATATAACAGCCGAGATACAAGGCCGGTCAGGGCAGCAATTCAAAACCGCATCATCCCAGGCTACGTGCGAGGTGATGGACAATCAAATGACGACGATGCAGCCGTGGTTCCAACGGCTGTTTATTGGAAACTTCAGAGGATATTAAAACCGTCTAATCTAAATGGATCTTCTGCTGTCAGGTCGCAAAAGTCCCAGTTCCTCCACCCCCTGCAACCCCTCCTCTGCCGGCACAGCTCAAACCTTTTTATCCCTACATCGCCCCTGGGTTCGCGGTGCACGCGGCCCAGAACAGAGCCCGGCGCAGCAGCACTTCTCCTCGCCGCGCCGGGCCCCGGCTGCAGCAGCCGTGGGATTTATTGAAGAGTAATATCATGAATTGAGATATCATTTCAAAGCACCCAGCAGAGCACCACAGCAGCACACAGCGTACTCTGGGACACAGTGGTTTCCAGCTCTTGTCCCCGCCAATGATAGAAGCGAATTAATGCTTGATGCCGGAGGGAGCATGGAAAGTACAGTGTGGTGGTCCGAAGAAAGGGACATCGAAAGGAGTGAAAATCCATCTTCCAGAGAATTGGAGTCCCGACACCACATGTGGATGAACTTGTGTTCAACTGGTTCCACTAGATCTGTTATTTAAAACTAGATAGATAGATAGATAGATAGATAGATAGATAGATAGATAGATAGATAGATAGATAGATAGATAGAGAGATAGAGAGATAGAGAGATAGAGAGATAGATAGATAGATAGCAGTTGTATAGAAACTTTTGATTATGACTGTGTATAGTACTTGCCAGTACATATGAAACCTTTCTGATTTTATTTTAACCCTTTATGGGACAAGTGACCATATTTGGTAACTTCCTTGGACGTTCAATATGGCCGCCCTGTGCCTCTCCTTGAGGTTGAACAACCATGTGCACTTTCATGTAGTTTTTATATTTAATTAACATTTAATTAAATGTTCCAGACACTTTATAAACGCTTTGTTACTGGTTTGCATTGAACTCCACTTTGAGTTATTTTTTGAGATTAGTGACACTAATACCACTACCCCAAGAACAATGTGACTAAATGAACCTGCCAAGCACTTCATAAATACTTAGTTACTGGTTGTGTAAGTGTCATTACCTCAAACTAAAATGTTCTTCTTTTATTTATTGTAAATTCCATTTTTGTTTTTTTAACCATAAACACACAAGTTATCATATATAGTAATTTTGTTAATCTTGTTTCGAAAAAGTGTTTTTTTTTTTTTTTGTTTTTTTTAAGTCACAAAAGTAAAAAATATCGTGAAATATCCTTCAATAACATCCTAGGGTTGAAATTTTAATTTTCCAAGTATTTCAAGGAGTGCCCTATAAAGGGTTAAAGTTTCAAAGCACTCATTCCAGTCCTAATTATTTCTGGCCACTCATTCTTTTTTCCTCATCGTGAACACGGAGCTCGGAAACAACACGGCATTGCGTTCTAGTAGAGAATTATATACACACCTGCTCAAATGCTCAAAAAAAAGAGAAGGCACAGCAATTCTCCTGGCATGAAAACTGGAAGCAAGAAAGCCAACTTGGTTCTGTCCAAAGTTAAAAAAAAAACAAAACAAAAAAAAAACAACTACCTAAATGTCAGACCTTTTATCATGAGTAAAAAAAATCAGATTTTACTAAACATTGTACACAGCAGCCATCTCTCTCAACAACAACAGTAAATTGCACTAAATTATAAGCAACGTTATTTCCTACTATGGATTTATTTTGTAATTTGTAGTCTTACAAATATCAGCATGATTTTGAATGACATTTAGTTACTTCCGAGGCAGAACTCCAATTTCACTTTGACTTGTATTTCATTTGAAGGTGAACATTTTAAACCCCCACAACATATTATCAACATAACTGCAACCAAACCTTACCTCTAATTCATCTTATCTTCAATTTATTGAAGCAACACGTGGTTTATTGTGACATCAAATTTGAACAGCATGAATGTTGCTTATAAAAAACAAAACAAAAAAAAATGTTTCTAGCTTTTAACGGTTTCTTCGGGAAGCTTCAGGTTTTGAGGACTTTTCAGGAGAGAATTTTACAACGTCGACACTGTTCACTGAGAAAAGCTGTGAAATATAAAAAGCTCCAAGTCTAGCTGCTTCCTTTGTTTGTTAACAATTATGCTCCATTCTCATATTTAAGGCTGCTTTCCGTAAAACAATCCTGCCTTAAAAACGGCTTCGGCAAGCGCCGCTCCATAATGA